AAATTACCATGCGAATGCGATTTGAATACGCGCTGTTTAGCACTTGTGATACATTTTTAAAAGCTGGCGAATCGTCACGGGGATGGAGATAACCGATGTTAAGCGGCGATTTTGGCCCTCTTTTGTGCTCAAGATATTAGGGTTCGGCGACATAAAAGAATCGACATAACCAATGAGAAAATGCTAAGACAAAGGGGAATTTGCCGGTTCCCTCTATACATTTGGTATATTCAAATGTATATCGAAATATCGGAAATGTGTTTAAAAATCGTATCACCGTTATTGAAAAAAATTCTATCGCGATATAAATTGATATCGAATTATTGTCCAGCCCTAGGAGCACATCATACGTATAGAAACGGCAGCTATTGTGTGTACCTGTGTCTTCTAAATCAAAAGTTCCCACACTATGGGTGAGTCACTGATTGACCATGAAAAGCCTAATTTATAATACAGCATACATGGCACGGTGAGTCTTTCCGCGCACCTGTCAAACAACGAACCTCTGCAGAGGGCGCTGCACACACCACCTGTCAATGGTTGGTCACTATGCTGTTGTCATGTTGAAACTTCATTGTATTGGATACTTTCTATCCAATCAGAGCAGTCTGTTTCTAGTCGTCGTCTTAATTTAGTGTGTGTATACAGTCAGTCAGTCGTTCAGTCAGAGTAGCTAGTGTTTAGTAGTTGTCAAAATGTCCAAAAATAAGTATAAAGAAGAATATATTTCAGCTCATGGGAGTTTAACTTATACGAAAATGTTCTGAGGGCACAACAAGAAATGATTGGTTCAGAGAGGCAACTAATCAGATTGTAGAGAAGGTGGGTCCAAGCAACTAGAGGAGGCGGGACCAACCAATCAGATGTGAAACTGCTCAATACATCTGCCTTGTCATGTGGATCTCTATGTGCTTCTCCTTCCACAGCTTTCTGAACTGCACATTTACACCAGATGAGATGCAAAAGCTGTGTCTGATCTTGGCAAGATGTTTTGGACTCTCTGTCATTGAGTAAGTCTTCCAGTTAGACAAAAACAACTTTTCATTTTAGTGATATCGCTCATATTCCGAGGCTGTGCAAAAAAATGTCCAGTTTAGTTTAATTTTTGATATCTAGCTCTGACTGAATCATTAAATTAGTTTGTGACTCTGCTCTTCTAAAATTAAATGAGAGCACTCTTTAACTGTTGGTTAAATGCTAATTTGAAAATGTCACTTTTGTTCAGTAATGAACTAAATCGTGTGTTTTTCTCTTAAAAGCCGCTCACTATTTTCCTTTCTTGTTACCATGGTGATGTCAGTTTGTCTGGAGCAGTGATGAAGGATGATGCCCTGCAGGTTTTGGTTGACTGGCTGCCGCAGCTCAGTGTCTCCAAAGAAGTCGTGTAAGAGCTAACTTTCTCAGATCTACTCTTCTAACTTTGTCCCACAGCTGACTCATAATAACCCAACATGTCCCTGAACATAACACACAAAATGGTATAAATGCATCATCAAACCAAGCTTATTATCAGTCCTGCTGTGTTACAAAAGATTTATTTCCTTGGGGGCAGTGTGTGGCTCAGTGGGCTACAGTGATGCGCGGGTTGACCCGAAATGAGCGGTTACGAGTCATCCAAAAATATTTTTAATGATATTCGGGTCGCGGTCGGTCGGGTCGTTTGAAATAAAGATGCCAATTATTGTGAACATTTATTTATGGATATTGTAGCCTCAGTCTTTGGTTTAGCCTACCTGTTTTTGTTCGTTTAAAATGCGTTAATAAAGACTTTATTAACATATTCTATGCCTGTATTTTGTGCTTGTGAGTGCTTCAATTGGGCATCCACG